AGCGAACACGATGACGAGAAGCCATCTCATTGTACATATGTTCGACTGCGCCGTTTAATGTAGTGTCCCTGTACTCCTTGTACATGTTGTGGTAGCCAGTCCTGCTCTGGTAACGGAGCCAGATGCCATAGTTCTTGATCTTGGTTGGATATTTCTCAAATATCTGGAAAAAAAATGGTGTAAATGTTGTTAGCGTTTGTAAAATCAACCTTGATAAAAGTCTAAGAAATGCCAATGTTCAGGTATTAAGACTTGTGCTTCAAGAAACACTAAAATTAGGACGAGATAGAAGTTTGCTATGAAATAATAGCTGCTATTTGGATGTTGGTAAGGAAATAATCATCCCTTAGTACAATAGAGAAGTTGATAAATAACATATGAAAGTCTAAAAAGTAGGCTGATAGAAATGTGAGGATAATTTTTCCAATAGAGTTTTGGATAATGATGAGAACTTAGCTTTGACACCAGAGAGAGATTAGCAAACTAAGACCAGAAGTTCGAAGCATTACGAGAGCACATTTCAGTGAAGTTGTAGGAACAAAAATTACAAAAGAGGGATATATCTCATACATGTTGAACAAACCATCTACGGAGAATTGAACCGTTAAAAAAAATAGAAGAAACAAAGATATGCAAATCTTGAAATAATCTATAGTACCAAAATGCAATTATCTGCTGATATTGATAACTTTGATCCAAACGGGCATGCAAAAAGCTCAACTTTCAACAACATTTAAAAATCCATAAATATAGAGCCGGTGGATTCTAATCTTTTCTACCCAATACAAATCAATAACTCTTGAAAAGTACTACACACTGACTACTATATATAAAAGGCTCCTCAAAAATTAACATATGCATTACCGACTCAATCACAGAACAACATATATGTTCTGGAAACAATCACTAAAAGTAGGTCCTAAAAGGGAACACATAAGTAAAATATCATCATCAGCCTTAATCCATCTATCTAAGAATGGATCAAAGAATTATCATTTTTCATTTATTTATGCTAGGAGCTTTCGGAAATGCCAAACCTATAATTGGTAAATTATTTTTGTACAATTTCTAGATCTAATAAATTTTCCAGCTAATCCTTCGCCACTAATTTTCTTTATCCTCATATGGGTACACTTTTCACCCATCGAGTTATGCAGGAAAATTATACATATTAACAGTTTACAAGAAGTATGTTATCTAGTCAGACCAAACTAAAAAAGTAAAAGTTACAGTAAGCATTGATTGGTATTGAATATATAGGTGAAAGACAATGCTCATTATGGATATAAGTATATAACTAAAGGTCCTGCATATGATTGGCATAACTTTCTAATGGGAGACTCCGGATTAAGTTGGGTTCTTCCAATATCAAATTTCACCACATAATTACTGGACCTTAGCTAATTCATAGTTTGGTAGAATTTTGGGCTCCAACTAATGCCTCCTTTAATAGGAATAATATGAGAATCTCTGTTATATTGCTAGTTCTACTTCTTTGCTTGGGTAGATGATAACTTCCCTATTCCTAGCAATGCGATGGGCAATGCGATGGGCTTCAACAATTGCGTTTTCAAGTTGTTGTCCTCTTGAACCTTTCCAACTTGGGGCTTTCATTTTCTTAGTTTAACAATCCGCTTAACTCTCCCATTAGATTTAAATTTTATAGGACTTTATCTAATGCTAGTTGGTTTGAGATATTCCATGATTCTTATAATAATATCATGCCTACTCTATCTGACCACTACTCTAATTGTTACTCTAACAACTTCATTCCCGCAAGGAACAAGGCTATTCAAAAAGTTTTCGAATAACTGTTTTGGCTTTGCGTAGTTCAACCATCTAATACTTGGAGAATTTATGTTATGGTATTCCTATCAAGTTCATTAAACCTATTAAAAATTCTACTATTGATGTCCCATTCTCTATTAATATATATATATGGTGAACTACAAGATTACTTCAACTCAAAAATGGTATGAGAAAGAATACCTTATCACCTTCCTAACTACATATATGTTATCCAACTTACTAATGAATGCTGATGTAGAAAATATTTCAAGCTTACTATTTTGGAAGACATTTCCATCAATCTTATCTATAAAGATGAATTGCTTATTTTTTGCAAAGCCAAAACTAAGCCATTGGATACCATTGGTCCAGATTTATCTTTAACAGTAGAACTTTTCATAAACTCCACACTATTTTTTAGCAACAAACTGCCATGCCAAATCTAAAGGGGCCTTGGGATTTCTATGCCCTTCAATCCATAATCTCACATAAGATCAAAAACTCAGGAGAATTATTCATAAGTTCATTATCTTGAGCTCTTAGAATACCTTTTATGGTTCCATTTGGATCAAATAAAATGGTAAAATCTCTTCTTTTTTTAAAAGGAGCGTAAGTTTTTTCCTCCTAAATGTGTTCTAAAGTTACATATAAGAATGGCTATTATAAGTTATTGTCTTCATATCATTGACTATTGGCTAAACATATACTATTTTGAAAATTAGACGGTCTGCAATATACACATTCTTCAACTTACCTTCAGATGCTATTGTTGATGCCAATATCTTGGATGGAAATATGGTACTTCTGAATCCCTCACAAAATTCTAACACCAATTGCCTTAATGCTATTAGCAACATTATCATTTCTCGGAAAGATAATGTGATCCTATGACATTAAAAGAAGAACTTTGCCTTACGTGCCCCAAAGAAAGCTTCTATTTGAATATCCAATGTATCAATTAAATAAAATTTGTTTGGCTCCGAGGGTTTGTTTAGGGGAACTCAACTTACACAAGGATGGAAAGCTTGGATGCTCTTCAAATGATTGTTGTGATGGCTACACAAGGATGTATATATCAACAACTCATGTGGCTTATCAAGAGTGACAACTATAGTGGCCAAAACTTTCTTTTTTGAAGCCTTCACAATGATAAATATTTCAATAAATTAGATCTTCTAACTAATATGGTTCTCTTACAAAACTTTTAGATGGAGAGAAATAATTGTATTAATACTATGTATGCTTGAGAATATAGTGTTAAAGATCAAAAACTTTGTGAACCTCAAACATAAAGCAATCCAGCTTGATTGTCTAAGATAAATGCGGACCTTGTGAATTGGATAGCCATTAGTTGATTTTGTTTTATTTCTTTTCATAGTCTACAATCAACAATCGCTCAATTCTCTTTTTGTTTCCCAGGCCACTGCATTTCATGTTCTTTGTGTGTTTGCCTTTAAGATTCTTCTATCTCTGGTTTTGCTATCAGTTGTGAATTCTATATTTGCACTTATGGCAAACAACATTTATTGGATGGTGGATTTTTTGTTCTTATACGAGGCTATCAAGGGAATTAATATTTTCATTAACATATCTGCATGTTGTTGAGAATACATCATGCAAGACTTTTTGGGCAATTACTTGATCTCTTCGAGTATCATCTAGCCATAGCATAGCTATATATTTCTTGTACGTTCTAATATGATAAATTTATTGAGCTATGGCTCTAAATGCTCCTAAGAAAGGATATTTCCAATTGTCAACATTTATAAAAAAAATAACCAAAGTTGGCTCATTTATGTGAGAGAGCACAACAAAAATATTCGGATCATAACAAGTCCACACTAGCTATAGTATATAGATAAAGCCATAAAGGCAAACAAGCATTGAATATAAATTTCAAATGATGAATAAAATGCAGATAATAGAAA